TTAGTTTTTAAAGTTTCTGAAGAGGACACCAATTAAGCTCTGGAAGGGGGAAAAAAAATCACAAATACTGATAGCTTGGATAGTACTAATGTTAGTGACATCCAGTACTGACAGTAGAAAATTAGGGGTATGGAGAAACTTTACTTGGCCTAAGTGCATTCAATGAATCTTGAGATCCACCGCTGCTCTCCCTGTTCCTCGCTTCCTAAACTGAGCACTTTCTACCTCTTTCATGTTTTGAAGGTCTAAGCACAGAAAGTACTATTATATTGTTACACAATAATGGCAAAAAGTGTCTTTTCTTCTCAAAAGTTTTTATCTGCTTTACTTAAACTGCCAAAACCCAAAAAGGCAGTATATTCCCCAGTTCACACTTTGTAACAAGTTTTAAACATCCCAAAGCAAAAATAACAAAATTTTAATTAATGTGTTTCCTATTCTTAGACATATATATATATGTTTATATCTGAGTGTTTCTGAAAATCATATCCATTTTTTCATGTATACATTTAATGCAATAGGTTCTTTTTTCCTTCTCAAGAAGCTGTTTTTAACCCAAGTGTATGAGCAAGCCACGTTATATATAGTATACTAGATGTTCCCAAAGAGGAATATTTCAGATTTGTTAAGGGTTATATAAAGTAACAAATATCTTGGTTCTCAAAAAATCAACCTTAGAAAGAGGGAAAGAAGAATAAAAAGTAAAATTCCTCTCCATCTTAGGTTCAAACATTCAGAAATTTTATGGTTGCCACCTTGTATTATTACTTTGTACGATTTCCCTGTACGACTATCCTGTGAGGGTTAGAAGACAACACCAGGATGGGGGGAAGGCAGAGAAGCTGCTATAGTGTACACACATGCCACATATCTATTATGTGGCATTAATTCTCTGTGTGAAGTTTCGAGGTGTGTAACTCCTCAAAAAAATTGCAGTGGCAATATTAACAAAAAAGAATTTGTAATATAATTTAGTAAGTGCTATAATAAAAAGTAGATACAGGGCATTGTGGAGGCACACAGGAAAGGCACCTAACCCTTCTCTGCACAAATGCTGTACAGGTGCTACCAGGAAGGCCTCTGGGAGGAAATAATGCCTATATTAAGACTCGAAAAAGGAGAAACAGCAATGTCCTTGGAAATACTGATGGGGATTTCTTTTCGATAATGGTTTAAGTAATGAATTCTGCATGGTAGGTGCTCAGTACCTATATAAGGCAGGTAAACCTCTTACTTTCCCTTTTTTTTGATGGCAGAGGAGGGACGGGAGGAAATGAAAAGGCCAAGAATGAATATAATCAAGTATAAATGAAAAGAACAAAAGCAAGATAAATTAATGAATAGTATGAACTCTGGTTTTCACACACCTTAGTTCAAACCTGGAATTCTAGCACTTACTAGGCTACGTGATCTTAGGTAGGCACCTAATTCTCTAAGCCTCAGCGCTCTCATCTGTAACCAACGACAACCAACTCAAAGGGATATTGTGAAGCTGAAATAGGATATAATACATATTGATTTGTCTAGTTGTCTAATTAGTTTTCCCACCAGATCATAAGCTACAAAAGACAGAGGCCATGCAAAATATCTTGTATCACTGTCTAGTAAGTCCTTAGCAAAATGCTTGGCACGCAGATATTTAATAAATGTTGACTATCATTAAGTACTTTGCTATGATGATTTCAATTACAGCAACACCATGACCTCAGCACAGTATTGTATGTTTGATTATATTCTGAAGAGATCAAAAATTACTAACTCGTTCCTTATTTCAATGTAAAACACTTATAAAATCAATGCTGCCCCTACACTAAAAGTTTTACTAATTATGAGAGCCATAAAGTCTTCCAGATCTGAACAAAAACTTTAGAAAAACATGTCCTTGGAGATACTACACAGTTAAATCTATACTGCAAGGAAGGTATAAATAAAATTTTTTTCCTCTCTAAAGAAGTGTTTCTCTGGCCGGGCGCAGTGGCTCAAGCCTGTAATCCCAGCACTTTGGGAGGCCGAGACGGGCGGATCACGAGGTCAGGAGATCGAGACCATCCTGGATAACACGGTGAAACCCCGTCTCTACTAAAAAAATACAAAAAACTAGCTGGGCGAGGTGGTGGGCACCTGTAGTCCCAGCTACTCAGGAGGCTGAGGCAGGAGAATGGCGTAAACCCAGGAGGCGGAGCTTGCAGTGAGCTGAGATCTGGCCACTGCACTCCAGCCTGGGCGACAGAGCGAGACTCTGTCTCCAAAAAAAAAAGGAAATGTTTCTCAACTAAAGGTGCCCTTTGCCTGCAAGGTACATATTGCAATATCTAGAGATATTTTTTGATCATCACAACTAGGAGTGTAGGGGTGTTACTGGCATCTAGTGGGTGAAGGCCAGGGATGCTGCTAAATACCCTATAATGCACAGGACAGCTCTCACAGCAAAGAATTATCTAGTTCAAAATGTCAATAGTGCTGAGGTTCGGGGGCAGAGGAGTAGAAGGATAGAAAGGTAGGCAAAGATATAAAACTGTATAAACATTTACAAGTAAGTTAGGTTTAATATTATCAGAATTCATGTGTATTACTGCAACTTACTCATTTTTACCAAGTTTTAGATTTTTAAAAAGAGATTTGAAGGAACTTAGATTTGTTTTTTCTAATATTTATCTAAGATTGAGAGAATGGTCTCTCTAAAAATATTTCAGGTCCATCAAAATATATAAAAGCTTTCAATAACTCAAAAAAAAAAATGTCTAAATATAATTTCAGGTCTTACAAATGAAGCTCTAATCTGTATCTAGGAGTAAGAAGGCACAGTCACATCAAGCTGAAAGGAAAAGTACGCATGTGGCTTATTTTTCTACTATTTTATCAGTACACTGATTTTCAACATACAAAACAGATTTAAATGATGTGTTAATTTTATTCATTTATATACGCAAGGTGGAAGGAACATGTGGCATTTTGCCATTCCACTACCTTTTCTTTGCCATTTCTTTATTAATGATCCCTACCTCCACACTGTTTCTTTTCTTTCTTTTTTTTTTTTTTTGAGACAGAGTCTCACATGATCTCTACTCACTGCAACCTCTGCCTCCTGGGTTCAAGCCATTCTCCTGCCTCAGCCTCCCAAATAGCTGGGATTACAGGCGCGCACTACTATGCCTGGCTAATTTTTGTACATTTAGTAGAGACAGATCTCACCATGTTGGCCAGGCTGGTCTCAAACTCCTGACCTCAGAAGATCTGCCCACCTTGGTCTCCCAAAGTGCTGGGATTACAAGTGTGAGCAACCGTGCCTGGCCCCTACCTCCACATTATTTCTGATGCATGTTTTATAGCACATGTACACTAGTCATCTATTTAAAATTGTGAGGTGGTACCACACACAGTAACGATTAAATTTAACTTACGGCAGTGAAAGCATAAACTTTGGTTACTATCACAGATGGAATTGGCTGGGTGCAGTGGCTCACACCTGTAATCTGAGCACTTTGGGAGGCCAACGTGGGCAGATCATTTGAGGTCAGGAGTTTGAAACCAGCCTGGCCAACATAGTGAAACACTGTCTCTACTAAAAATACAAACAAAAAATTAGCTGGGCGTGGTGGTGGGCGCCTGTAATCCCAGCTACTCGGGAGACTGAGGCAGGAGAGTTGCTTGAGTCCAGAAGGCGGAGGTTGCAGTGAGCAGAGATCATGCCACTGCACTCCAGTCTGGGAGAGACTGAGATTCTGTCTTAAAAAACAAAAAAACAAATGGAATCATCAGGCAGAAGTGAATCTAGGTGGTAAAATCCCAAGTAGTAGTTGTTGTTATTTATTAAGCATCTTTTGGAATGACATTAATCTTTGGTCTCACATTTGAGAAAAATAGTGTCATCAAAATACAATAAACTGACAATTTTTTTTTTTTTTTTTTTGAGACGGATTCTTACTCTGTCGCCCAGGCTGGAGTGCAATGGCACAATCTTGGCTCACCACAACCTCTGCTTCATGGGTTTCTGTTTCTTTGCCTCAGCCTCCCGAGTAGCTGGGATTACAGGTGTGCGCCACCACACCTAGCTAATTTTTGCATTTTTAGTAGAGATGGGGTTTCACCATGTTGGCCAGGCTAGTCTTGAACTCCTGACCTCAGGCGATCCGCCTGCCTCGGCCTCCCAAAGTGTTGGGATTACAGGAGTGAGCCACTGCACCCAGCTGACTTACACATTTTAAACAATTTTTGAAACAGTTTTACTAAGAAATCTAACCCATGTAAAGCTATTGCTAAAGCCTTTTGGCTGAGGCAGTAACTAATGAGACACTGTAGAATATAAAGGTGCAGTAGGGTAAAAAAGTCTACCGCTATTGAGCCATGAGTCCAAAATCTTAAATAAAAAAAGTCTGGCCAGGTGCGGTGGTTCACGCCTGTAATCCCAGCACTTTGGGAGGCTGAGGCGGGCGGATCACGAGGTCAGGAGTTTGGGACCAGCCTGGCCAGCATGGTGAAACCCCATTTCTACTAAAAATACAGAAATCAGTCAGGCATGGTGGCATGCACCTGTAGTCCCAGCTACTCGAGAGGCTGAGGCAGGAGAATCATTTGAACCTGGGAGGAGGAGGTTGCAGTGAGCCAAGATCATGCCACTGCACTCCAGCCTGGGCGACAGAGCAAAACTCCATCTCAAAAAAAAAAAAAAAAAAAGTCTATCTCATCTGAAGAAATGTTGGGGTTTATTTCTATATTATTGGAGACATATTTTATATTAATAATCAAAAGCAGTTACATAATTTTGTCATATATGCAAATATCTTGAGCCTGAAAAGTATGATGAAAATCCTTCACTGTCTACTAAAATTATTTTTTTGAGCATCATTTAATTTCATACAAAAATCAAAGTGCCACAGTCCTTCAAAGACATCAGTGACAATATCAAAGATTTTTCTAAGCTGATATTTTACATCTGAAAGGTCTAGACAATTATTTGTGCATGTACCCACATAATTTAACAACTTGCAAAGCGATCATACCTCTTCAATACCAGCTATATTATTCACAGCCAGTTTTTTTAGAGAACTCTGAAGCTTTTTGTCATCAGCTGTGGCTGTTCTGTGTACCACCTTCTTCTTTCTGCGAGCTGTACCCTGAAAAATAACCAAACAGAAGTCTTAGCATGCCTGGCATCTGGCAACTGCAATCACATCTTATATATCACAATAATCTAACTAAAACCCACATTAAAAAATGGACAAAATAATAATGATTAATATTATAAGACTGCTCAGAGGTTGTGACTGTCAGCCTAATGCAGATTTTTAAAGGTCAGTTCTAGCCAGTTCTTTTTTTTTCCTTATCAGCTTTCTCAGGTTGAATTATTCTTATCTAATATCCAGCCTTTATCATTTCAACACAAGATACCATTTGCTAATAAAACATAATGTATAACTTCAAGACAATTTAAGTACTTTATAACAATTTTAAAACATTATCATTTCTTATAGTAACTACCACCCCCTGCCAAGTCTAAAGATATTCTGAAATTTGGGGAATTAGGACATAACTGAAAATTAATACCTACATTACAGTAGGAGGAAAAAATCAATAAATAAACAAATTAGACAATTTCAAATGGGATTAAGTACTATTAAGAAAAAAAACAAAACTAGAGCACAGGAAGAATGACTAAGTAGGAGTACAGCACTACTTTATTAGAAAGTCCAGGAAAGCCCTCTCTGAAGAAGTAACATAAGAATTGAGACCCATAACTAGGGCAAGAATGTTCCAAGCAGAATGAAACAAGGTTGAACTTGTCCTTTCTAGAAGAGAGAAAATGGGCCAGTATGGCTAGAGTAGAGTGAACAATGGGAACGGAGGAGGAGTATGAAATCAGAAAGATAGGCAAGGACCAGATTATGTAGCCTAGAATGCCATGGGCAGGAGCTAGATTTCATTCTGATTGCAATGGGAAGCCATTGAAAGGTTTCAAGCATGGGAGTGACTTGATCTGATTATTTATGACTGAAGTTGCTATGTGGAAAATGGATTATAATGAGACCAGTCAGCAGGCTCCTGTAGCCACTCTGGCAAAAGATGAGGAATATGGCAGTGAAGATGGTGAGCGGTTAGATTCTCACAAGAGACCACATGACTTTGCTGATGGATTACATGTGCGATACGAGAAAAAAAGGACATTTGGATGATGCTTAGAATCTTGGCCTGAGCAAACAGGTTGAAAATTATGCTAGTTACTGAGAAAGAAAAAGTTCATTTCTAAATTGATACTTTGAAACTCTAAATACATTTTTCCATTGAAATACTATTTAAAATAATGGATTAAATTCCTGGATCAGTTTATTAAGTCTTGAGGGTGAAATATTTCTAAAACTGGTAGGATTAAGGAGAATGGAATAGTGGTTACAATCTCTGGGCAGCTCCTATAGTAGTACTCAGGGAATCAGCCTTATAGAGGGAAGGTAGGGGCTTCAGTCTCAGCAATTCTGGTGGGAGTGGAGGAGAGATGTGACGGCAGAGGATGCCTTGAAATCTAGTTGCTGAAGGACTATTTACATAGGCACTCACTTGTGAAGCATTCCTGACTCAGGGATAGCTCAACTGCTTGGTGAATACCTCAACTCGAATGATCCTCAGGTACCTCAAATTCAACATGTCTTAAAGCTTATCAGTCTACCAATCTATTCTTTCTATATTTCCTAACTTTTGTAGCTGGTGGTACCACCATATACTCAAGTCTCTAAAATCATGAATCTGTGGGTTATCCTAGATTCTTCTGCATGCCCTTCACCCCCCATATCCCATCAGTCACTAAATTGTGTCAATTCCAACTCCTAAATTTGTATCCCATATAATAGAGGTCCCCAACCGCCAGGCCACTGACCGGTACCAGTCTGTGACCTGTTAGGAACACGGCAGCACAGCAGGAGGTGGGGCGGGGGGTATGAGCGAGCATTACTGCTTGAGCTCCACCACCAGTTAGATCAGCGGCAGCATTAGATTCTCACAGGAGCGAGAACCCTGTTGTGAACTGTGTATGCCAGGAATCTAGGTTGCGCATTCCTTATGAGAATCTAACTAATGCCTGATGACCTGAGGTGCAACAGCTTTATCCCAAAACCATCATCCCCCCATCCGTGGAAAAACTGTCTTCCATGAAACCAGTCCCTGGTGCCAAAAAGGTAGGGGACTGCTGCCTTATACTATAGCAATAGCCTCTCAATTGTTCTCCTACGTGCCAAACTTCCATTTCGTTCCGTCTTCCACAACGCCAGCAGTTACGTTTCTAAAATGGCAGTCATTTCCTTCTTAAAATCCTTTAATAGCTGCCCACTGCCTACAGGATAAAACTCCAAGCTCCTTGGTATGGCATATAAAAGTATGATGGAATCCCAAAAACCTGGTCATTTCATTTCCTGCCATTCTCTAGCCATTACATACTCTAAAGAATAGCTGTACTGGCCAGGCGCGGTGGCTCACGCCTGTAATCCTAGCATTTTGGGAAGCTGAGGCGGGCAGACCAGAAGGTCAGGAGTTTGAGACCAGCCTGACCAACATAGTGAAACCCCGTCTCTACTAAAAATACAAAAATTAGCCAGGCGTAGTAGCACATGCCTGTAATCCCATCTACTCAGGAGGCTGAGGCAGGAGAATCGCTTGAACCCAGGAGGCGGAGGTTGCAGTGAGCCAAGATCACACCACTGAACTCCAGCCTGGGTGACAGAGCAAGACTCCATCTCGGAAAAAAAAAAAAAAAAAAGGCCGAGGCAGGCGGATCACGAGGTCAGGAGACTGAGACCATCCTGGCTAACACAGTGAAACCCTGTCTCTACTAAAAAAAATACAAAAAATTAGCTGGGCGTGGTGGCGGGCACCTATATGGAGGCTGAGGCAGGAGAATGGCGTGAAGCTGAGAGGCGAGCTTGCAGTGAGCTGAGATTGCGCCACTGCACTCCAGCCTGGGCAACAGAGACTCCGTCTCAAAAACAAACAAACAAAAGGTCTGAACGCGGTGGCTCACACCTGTAATCCCAGCATTTGGGAGGTCAAGACGGGCAAATCACCTGCGGTCAGGAGTTCAAGATCATCCTGACCAACATGAAGACACCCCATCTCTATCTCTACTAAAAATACAAAAATTCAGCTGGGCATGGTGGCGCATGCCTGTAATCCAGCTACTTGGGAGGCTGGGGCAGGAGAATCGCTTGAACCTGGGAGCAGAGGTTGCAGTGAGCCGAGATCGTGCCATTGCACTCCAGCCTGGGCAATAAGACCGAAACTCCCTCTCAAAAAAAAAAAAAAAAAAAAAGCTGTACCAAATTAAAGCAAGCCATTCCATTAAGTACCGTGTTATCTTAGCACCGTATGTGCCTTTGCAAGTATGGAAATAACAACCCTTTTTACTCTACCTCCATGAACCCTCTTTTTTTTTTTTTTCCTGAGATGGAGTCTTGCTCTGTTGCCCAGGCTGGAGTGCAGTGGTGCGATCTTGGCTCACTGCAACTTCCACCTCCCGGGTTCAAATGATTCTCCTACCCCAGCCTCCTGAGTAGCTGGGACTACAGGTGTGCTCTGCCACACCTGGCTAATTTTTGTACTTTTAGTAGAGACAGGGTTTTACCATGTTGGCTAGCTGGTCTTGAACTCCTGACCTCAAGTGATCCACCCACCTCAGCCCCTCAAAGTGCTGGGATTACAGGCGTGAGCCACTGTCCATTACATTTCTGCCAGCCATTACCTTTCTGTCTAGTGATAAATTCTTGTTTATCCTTTAAATAAGAGCTCAATAATGACTTCCTTGTCTCCTCTAGGCAAGAGCACCTTGTACTTCATTATAACACTCACTATTCTCCATTATAATTGTGAGCATCTCTCTCCCAAGCAGAGTTGTGATCTTGTTTATCTTCTATGTGCCTGGCACATAGTAGGTGCTCAATATACAATAGCTAAATTGAATGTACCAACCACAGTTTTAAAATACATAATGGCCATGTGCTACATCAAGCTCGCTCTTCTAGGTATATTATATGGTTCTTGACTATCCCTAGTTTTTGCATTGGCACATCACATCACACTTGATGGTACAATGTGACTACTGTGGTTACATGACTGTGTTAATCTAACTCCAGACTCATATAACTGTATCACTGTGGAAGAAGGAGAAAGTACTGGCTCTTCTTCCCTTCCCTTGTGCTCATCCCCAGAAGCTGTGGTTATTGTCCGCGTAAATGACATACTGGGACCCACTACAAAAAGCAGTGTCCTGCCTACCACTTCAGGTCTGAGATAAGTACTATTCTTTCTTTCCCTTTTGCAAAGATTATACTGGGCAGAGATATGGGTAGAATATTCTCCTTGAGCCTGGTGCCACAGCTGAAGAGAATCAAAGACTTTTGTTGTTCACAACTAGCTCTTCCTTAAGCTTTAAAAAGTACAGGGAATAAGAAAGCTCACATTCATATTCACCAACATGGAAGAACAGGTAAGAATTTGTGAGGAAAACCTAGCAATGAACAAAATATATAATCAACTAAAGCATCTCCAGCTAAACCTCTGTACAAGTAGGTAATATCCAGTCAAGATGAAGTAACCCTAACATCTGCTACGCCCTGCAAGTGAGTCTAACCATAACAGCTATCATTTATTAAGCATCTACTCTGTGCTAGACACCATGTTAGGTGTTTTATAAATATTACCCTAATCTTTAAATACCTTACGTAGGATTATTTCTATTTTGCAGGTAAGAAAGCGGAAGCTTAACAAGGTTGGATAACTTGTTCACATCCTATAACTAGCAGATGTTAAGAGTTAGGATTCAAACAAATGTGGCTATTTCCATTGCATCATCAGAGAGAAGAGTGTTCTAGTTACCTATTTTAGATCCAGACAAGTTATTTTCAAATTCGAATGTGGTTTGATCTCGATTATTGAAAAGATTTTAGATTTTCAATGACCACAAATCTGAAATAATAACACTATCTGGTTACATACATTCTCCTATCAGTTTTTCTTATGCCACACTCACCTTGCCCCCTATCCGGACCTGAGCCTGAAGTTTGGCTAACTTTTCTTGATTCATGCTGTTGGTAAATCTAGGGGGGGAAAAATAGATTTGTTAAAGTCACTCTTTTACCGAAATCAACAAACTGTTTATGCAACAGTACCTTCTGGTTCACTGAGCTTGTAGTATGCATCAACACCATGACCATGTTAATACTGTCTATATTCTTAATAAACATTAATAACTTGTTCTAGCTTCATAAACCAGGTATTTTTAAAAATCAAAATTAAATTACCATGAGGGAATCAAATATACAAATAAAATAGAATGGGATTCAAAGTCACCTATTCAAAGATCCCTCCTTAAAACATGATTCAATCCTTTGGCATTCAGTTAAGCCTAACCAATTATGAAATCTCTGTAGGCAAGCCAGCTTTTTCCCCCAAAGATTTTTACAGCAGAGAGCTGTTACCAAATGTTATTAGCAAAATCTTCAAGTAGATTTTTTTCCCTCCCAAATCACATTCTGTATTTCTTATAAACCATAAAGATGATAAAAGGAAAAAAAAGCTGAACAAAGAAGAAATTCAACAAAAGGCTGCCTAGCTGTCAAGATATCAAGCAGTCACATCCTCTATTCAAGGTCAGATGGTATGTTAATAATGGGGAAAGAGAACCAGGTTTTCAGACGTTTGGTGCTTCTGCAGCATTCTCCAGAGTTCATTCAATACCCTGCACTGATACAGTATGTTATACTTGTCAAGATATTCTTGCCTACAGGGTAAAATGCTTCACTGCACAATTTAACAAAAACATATCTTTGCTACAGTAATAAATGTTGGGGGGGAGAGGAGACTCCTAAAACAAGCTTTTTAAAGGTAATCTTGATTTTGAAGATTCTAACATCATGAATCTAGTCTGGTCAGTGAATTCCCACTAAGAAAAAAACATTTTTAAGTTTATAATGGGTCATAACATTCCACATTACATAAACAAAGAAAAGCCAATCAAGGCCCGGCATGGTGGCTCACGCCTATAATCCCAGCACTTTGGGAGGCTGAGGTGGGTGGATCACCTGAGGTCGGGAATTCGAGACCAGCCTGACCAACATGGAGAAACCCTGTCTCTACTAAAAATACAGAATTAGCCAGGCATGGTGGCACATGCCTGTAATCCCAGCTACTCGGGAGGCTGAGGCAGGAGAATCGCTTGAACTCGGGAGGTGGAGGTTGTGGTGAGCCGAGATTGTGCCATTGCACTCCAGCCTGAGCAACAAGAGTGAAACTCCATCTCAAAAAAAAAAAAAAAAAAACCACCAAAATAAAAGTCTTGTTTTACTTGTTCTGTGGATCAACAAATCATTACTGAGATGTGGAGGAGGGAATAAAGGACTCGGCTGTTATCAAACCTTCCTTGGCCAATTCTCTAAACCCTGTATAGTCATCATTCCCATGAAAAAGATACTGTTTGCTTCATTTGAGAGATTAATAAAGGAGCATCGAAAACTATGTAATTACTAACCACTTTGTACTTTGACACTGTACTTAGGCACTAACCTGTATATATCTCTTCTTTAAGGCTAATGTCCAGATCCCAAATAATATTTAGAATTTATGATTCTTCACTCTGCTCAGCACTGTATCACAATGCTGAAGCAGCTAAAAACACTTTTATAGGAGGAAGTGTGTTTAGAGTTCAAAACAAGAAGTCTTAACTGTGTGCCAATCTTAGCTCTGCCATAGACTTAAATTTGATGACTGAAATCCCAATTCCTATGCTCAAATATCCACAGAAAACGATCAACATTCACTTTTCTCAAAGGAATGTGGCCATGAGAGTGTAGTGAACTAACAAAGAGCCTAAGGAATTTATTGCCAAAAAAAAGGGGGGCTAAGGAAAAACATTAGACCTAGATACTGGGTAAACCCTTTGGGATTCTTTTGCATTTTGAATTAACAATTCCCAAGAGAAGAGACAGGTTGGGATGCCAAGACAAAGTCTTGACTTGTTTGAAATAAAAGCAAGAACAAAATTCACTCTTCAAATCAAGGTATAGATGAAAGAAGAGATTCCATTCCAGGTGGTCAGGACAACAGAATTGAGAAATTTTGTTCCTAAGGAGTATCTCAGAGAAAAAGGATTTTAGGGAGACTGAGAGCTCAAGGCAGTAGGGGAGGAAGAAGAGTGGTCTTTTGTTTCTTAGCAAGTTGTGGTGTGTGGAATTCAAGTAGGAAAGAGGACTGGACTGTCTATGAGATGTCAAGCTCAGAATCTGGAGTAGACCTCCAAGATCACCTAGTTTAATTCCCTGTTCTCAATCAACCTTTACTTTATTGCACCCATCATTCCTGTCTGTGATGTCATCTCAACACCTGCTAGCAGCAGCAAAGTGTAAATTACAAACAAAACAGTTCCCTCCCTCCCATCTTAATAGATTAGGAAATGAGGGCCCAGAAGGGAGAAGTCCCTTCCTAGGCCCAAAGGGGAGAAGTAACTTCCTAAAGCCACATGATTAATGAGTTCTTCCTTGGGGATCCCAGGATCTTTCAGCACTGTTCTCAAGGACTCAAGAAAGGGTGTAAACAGGTTTATCTATATTTATTAAGTGCCTAAGTTAGAAGCATTGTGGTAGGCACTTTCACATACATCATGTTTACACAGAGATAAAAATAATTGCAACCTTGAGTCCTGACTTTTTATTATGCAGGGTTTCTCTAACGAGCGCAGGCTTTGGAATCAGAAAGACCAAGGTTCTACCACTTGGGAAAGGTATTTTTCTTCTCTGAACTTGTTTTCCTCCTGCATTTGCAAAAGTATAACACCACGTACTTCACAGAGCTGTTTTGAGGGTTAAAACATTATCAACCACAGGGAATGGTTCACAGAAGATACACAGTTACTGGTAACTATTGTTACCACTCCCGAGGGGACAACTATGGTAAACTGCAAGAACGTGGGAACGGAAGTTGAAACCGCCATTCACTAGCTGTGCAACACTCAGCCTGTCGGTCAGTCAGCAGGCAGTGAGAGGGGGTTATAAAGACAGGCAAGGGACGCCGACTTGTAAACAAACATTGCCATTACAAGGTGAAGAGCGCTGCAACTGAGTTCGGTTCCCTGGACTTGAGGGCGGGAAGTGGTAACCTCAGCGTCCCTATCTGTAGGCTGAGAGCATCAAATGAGATGACAACAGAGAGCATGTATAAAGCCCAAAGCACACAACACTGCTGTTGTGAATGAGGAGTAATGGGACAGAGGAGGGGCGTCCACCCGCCTCCTGGGACGGGATCTCGGCGGCAACAGCGCGGGCCCGCCCGCTCCCACAGGGGGCGGTGGTGCTGGGGACCTTCCCACAGGTGCCGACCCCCAGCTGCGCCGCCGGTAACCGACAGGCCAAGCCAGCCGCCTCCGCCCCCGCTCGCCGCACCACGGCGGAAGTGGCAGCCTGAGCGGTTGGCGGGTGTCGAAAGGAGAGGGCGGGGGGAGACCGTGCGCAGCGGCCTATGGCCGTGGAGTGGCGGGACCGCCGGGGGTCTCACCTGAAGCAGGGAGGGTCCTCCAACACCAGCACGCGGCAACAGCAAGATGGCTGCCTCAGCCGAGACAGAGAAAGACGACGGCGGCGGCGGCAGCTGCGGCGGGAGCAGGTCCACGTGACACACCCGACCCCGCCTCTCCCTCTCCGGGGCAGCCTATCCCGGGAGCGCACATCTGAACTCCAACGCCCTGCCTACTTTGCGCATCCCTCTAGTGCTAGTGGCGGCAGGTGCAGGTGGCCGCGCAGCATCCTGGGGCTTGCAGTCTCCCGAGCGTTCCATTGTGTCCCTGCCTACAATTTTAAGGAACCTAATAAAAGGGCGGTCGGTATGTTTTTGTTTGGGTGTGTACTTTTGTTAGGTTGCTTTTTCGCTATGCATTAAGTACGGACTTTAGGACTCAACTAGTACCAGGAAGAAAAAGACCGGACATTTTCACCTGTTTGTTATACAGCGGAGGGGAAAAATTGGGAAGAAATCCTCAACCTACAAGAAAAATAACCAGAAGCTTTACACTTTAGCCTGCAGTGACTTCTGTCCTGGTGTCCTAAGTCCACCTAAGTCAGTTTTGCAATAAGAGGCCCCAAGTTTGGTTTTCTCGGAGCTTGCATCAGTTGGTTGCATCATCCCTGAGTAGAAGATTTGCGGTTGCAAGGAAAAATAAGGTACAGAGCTTCTCCAGCGGGGAAGTGCATGCCTGCACGGCACGAGCCCACGCACCGCAGAATAGGCTTGCCAAGTCTCCTCGGAGACCGTGGCAGGAACCTAACAATGAAATCCAGTCGTCCAGTCTTTATTTGTGGAGGGGGAAGGAGAATCCGAGGCCAGTGGGCAATTCGCCCACTGTTGGGAGCGACTGACCTCACGAATCAATAATTTGCGTTTGACTAGGAAGTGCAGCGGTTCTTGGGGGGAGGGGCTGGACTGGTGGCGAACGCGAGCAGCAACGGTTCTCCTGAACCTCTCTCCCGCCCTTACTATCTTGGCCCACATTTTCCCGCTCCGTCTCGGGACCTGGACACCCAGAATCCATGGAAAGCAACTCGCGCTCGAGAACAGCTTTCGTACCCTTCTACGTGATCTGCACCTTTAAACTCACTCCATCCCAAACCGGACTCCGGAGGCACCACCCACATCCGTCTAACATCACTTCCTCCAGAGTTTGAAAAAAAAAAAATCTGGGAAGGAGAGGGGTTGTGCTGAGCAGCGCTCGGCGAACGGTGTGGACCGTCTGCTGGGACTCCGGCCCTCCGTCCGCTCAGCCCCGTGACCCCGCGCACTTACTGCCATGGAGACGCGGCCTCGTCTCGGGGCCACCTGTTTGCTGGGCTTCAGTTTCCTGCTCCTCGTCATCTCCTCTGATGGACATAATGGGCTTGGAAAGGGTCAGACCGCGTTCTTATCTTTACTGATCCTGGGCCCCAGCCCAGTATAACCTCTTCTTGCCCTAACACCGTTCCCCTCCCGTTCTATCTCTTAGACCACGCCAGATTTCTTTTTATCTTCCCCAATCACTCCTGGAGTTTGAAGATTTCTTGGGGTAGAGAGTAGCGGGTCTGGGGAATGAAGTTCTACTTGAGGCCTCTCTAAATTCCTGGGTTGGGGGGAAGGAATGGCCCGTAAATTAAGAAAAGCATGTTTAAGAGCCCGGCACAGTGCCTAGCACTTGGGAGGTCCTGAGGAGCGGTCACCTTCCCACCCGGGAGAAATAGAGCCGTTGGGGACCTGCATATGCAGAGAACCCTGTCCTAGGTCTGAAGATTTCTCTCCTTGCCTCTTCCGTGAAGAGCTAGGTTACTGCCACTTGCTTGCCTTTGGGAGACAGCACCTGCATCCCAGGTAGCTGGATCTAGTGCATAAGAAGGGCAGGGTGAAGGGAGAAGGTCTGCTGTTTAAGGATCCCCAACAGCGAAGTGTTTTTGTGAATGAGCGATCGGTGGTTATGAATGGAAGTTAGGAGGTGTGGCCCCCTACTCCATCCATTACCTGCATCTCCATTCTAAGTTTTAACACCTTTCTCCTCATCAGCCCTTACTTAGCTGAAAGTTGGATTGACAGTCTGTGAACTCAGGGTTTACGGTTTTCTAAGTAGATAAATTGTAGCATGGATCCCAACCCCTCTTCCATTTTTTTCCCACTGACCTTACTGTATGGAATGATTCTGCTGCAATCCTTCTGTTTTTGTTTTCTCTTATCCTCTCTATTTTCACATCAATTGGTGAGTAATAAGATTGAGTGGGCATTCATTTTGCCTGAATGCAATCATTCCTTCATTCCATAAATAATTTTTGATCACCTCCTGTATTTCAGGCACTGTTCTAGGCATTAGGGATATAGCTGTAAACAGGACAGACAAGGTTCCTACTCTCGTGGAGCTTATATTCATGTCAGAGAGACAAAGTAGACTCATGAACAAATTAATAAGACAGTTTCAGCTAGGAACAAGTGCTGGGAAAACAACAAGACTGTGATGGAATAGGAAGTAGAAATGCTGGGGAGGTTGGGGAAGCTGGCATCACTTGAGTTATGAAGGTCAGGAGAAGCTTTTTGGAGAATGTGATATGTGGGTTTCCATCTCAGTGATGAAACTGCATGACAAATCCTGTTAGGCCAGAATGTTTTAAATACTGACAATCCTATTTTTTTTTTTTTTTTGAGACGGAGTCTCGCTGTGTCCCCCAGGCTGGAGTGCGGTGGTGCGATCTCGGCTCACTGCCAGCTTCGCCTCCCGGGTTCACGCCATTATCCTGCCTCAGCCTCCTGAGCAGCTGGGACTACAGGCGCCCACTACCGCGACTGGCTAATTTTTTGTATTTTTAGTAGAGACGGGGTTTCACCGTGGTCTCGATCTCCTGACCTTGTGATCCGCCCGCCTCGGCCTCCCAAAGTGCTGGGATTACAGGCGTGAGCCACCGTGCCCGGCCGACAATCCCATTTTAAAACAGACTGCCTTTTTGTTTGTTTGTTTTGTTGTTTTGTTTTTTAGACAGAGTCTCGCACTGTTGCCTGGGCTGGAGTCCAATGGCATGATCTCAGCTTACTGCAACCTCTGCCTCCTGGGTTCAAGCGATTCTCCTGCCTCAGCCTCCCGAATAGCTGGGATTACAGGTGTCCACCACCACGCCTGGCTAATTTTTTATATTTTTAGTAGAGATGGGGTTTCACTATGTTGGCCAGGTTGGTCTTGAACTACTGACCTCATGATCTGCCCGCCTCGGCCTCCCAAATACTGGGATTACAGGTGTGAGCCACTGCACCCAGCCAGACTACTGTATATTTACAGTAAAATTGTAAGTACTGAGAGTAACGGAAGAGTAGTGTGTTAGATATGTGAGTTTAGATCTGAGTTTTTTCTTTGTTGTTTTTTCTGTTTGCTTGCTTTTGTTTTTGAGATAGAGTCTTGCTCTGCCACCCAGGCTGGAGTGCAGTGGTGCTATCTCAGCTCACTGCAACCTCTGCCTCCTGGATTCAAGTGATTCTCCTGCCTCAGCCTCCTGAGTAGCTGGAACTACAGGCGTGTGCCACTATGCCGAGCTAATTTTTTTTTTTTTTTTTTTTTGTATTTTTTTTGTATTTTTAGTAGAGATGGAGTTTCATCATGTTGGCCAGGCTGGTCTCAAACTCCTGACCTCAGGTGATCCTCCCTCCTGGGCCTCCCAAAGTGTTGGGATTATAAGCGTGAGCCACCGCATCAGGCCTAGATCTGAGTTTTAATTTGTTCTGCCACTCACTAGCTGAGTAGCCTTGGGCAAGTTTCTTAACTCTCAAAGCCTCAGTTCCTCATCTGCAAAATAGGCATCATAACTACTTCAGACACTCAACAAATAACTTACTCTGTTCGAGTTACTGTGTTAGGTGTAGGTAATACCTTGGAGTCAGGTATTTTGTATCTTTATTCCTTGTTCAATATTAAGCTTTGTGTGGTTGTTCCTGTTACCATTGTTGTGTAATAAATCACCCCAAAATTTAGTGGGCATTTTATTATGCTCACAATTGTGTGAGTAAGGAATTCAAGGCACACTGGGAAAGGCTTGTCCCTGTTCTATGATGTCTGGGGCCTCGGCTAAACTGGTTACCTCTCCATCTGATCTTTCTGCATAGGCTACTGTGGGTTTCCTCACAGTAGCTTTATGGGAGGCTGGATTCCAACAGTGAGTGCCATAAGAGAACAAGGTGGAAATGCATGGCATTTTTGTCATCTAGCCTTACAAGGCACATAGCATCACTTCCACTGTACCCTGTAGGGGCAGATTCAAGGGAATGGGATATTAGGATCGCACCCTCACCCCCAGTGGGAGGTATGTTGAAGTCACATTGTAAGAAGGGCATATCTGCCACAGTGAACTAGGACTATTTCTGTCTTGTTCATGCTCAGGAATATTTGTTGAAAGAGGAAATGAATGATAAACATGATGATTGTGATTCCGGTCCTTTTTTCAGCTTACAGTCTGGTAAGATACCAAGACAAGTAAGCAGACAGTTACATGGCAGCGTGATATATACTTTGAGCAAGGAAATACTAGGTAGCTGCAGGAGCACATAGAAGGGCAGCTTAGGGCAGTGGGACTGGGTTGGGAGGATTCAATCAAAAAACAAAAGGCACTTAATATTGTGTCAAACACTTAGAAAGTATTTAATAAATATTAACCAGTATAATCCCTAAAAGGAATTCATACTATTTCAAACTTTTGTTTCATGTATCTCTTGGATATGGATTCTTGGGAAATAGATTACATCCCACTTCCCCTACTTCCCAAAAAAAGTGCTACCTGGGGCAATGGTTGCTGAAAGTCTTAATGAGATGGATTTCTTCCCAGATGTTTAGCTCTGGCGCTTTCTGGAAGATGGCCTGGTGGTTTGCAGGGAGGAAAGACTGAATGATCTCTACTGTTTTCATTAAGAAGCAGCAGCACAGTGATGTGGACTTAGCACTAAATAGAAATTAGGAGACCCAGGCCAGGCGCGGTGGCTCACGCCTGTTATCCCAGCACTTTGGGAGGCTGAGGCAGTTGGACCACCTGAGGTCAGGAGTTCGAGACCAGCCTGACCAACATGGCGAAACACCATCTCTACTTAAAAACTACAAAAATTAGCCAGGCGTGGTGGCACACAGCTGTAATCCTAGCTACTCGGGAGGCTGAGGCAGGAGAATTGCTTGAACCTGGGAGGCGGAGGTTGCAGTGAGCC